CTTGTTTTTCTCCAGTGAACTTTCTTTTAAACCAATCCTCCCCAATTTCCTCCTAAAGCCTAATAAAAACTGATCTTCCCTCTGTCTCTTTAGACTTGCTTATGGTTCACCATAACTTATGTGTCCCAATTGGCTAGTAAAATAACTGGCATTTTATTTTTAAGGTGATATTATATGGTGGTCAAAAGTGGGGTCTGAAGAAGACAAAGCCCAAAGGAACTAATGACCCCAGAACTGTGTGAGGAACTGTGGGGAAATTGAAGTTCCTATGGGCAGGATCCTCACCTGAATGTAAACTACTTGGTGATGTAACTGCCCTGCTGCTAGGCTACTGCTTCCACAGCGTTAGGCAATAAACTACTATTGACTGAGTTACTATATAAAGAGCTCTGCCCAGTGGTCTGGGTGGAGGCAGAGATGAAGAAGGATTATAGACCTGCAGACTGCTGGATGCAGACGTAATTCTGGTACTTGATCTATTGCTGGGAGAACAAGCAGGGTAATAAACCCTTTTAGCCCAAGAATGTTCCATTGTCATTCTTCAGTCTCACTGGATCCACAGTGAACTTTCCTGGAACTAAAATCCATTGGCAAGACAGGAACCCACTTAAGCCCATTGCACTCCACACTTCTATGAACTGTCTTTCTCCTTCCTGGTAAGTATTCTCTTGGATCAGAGTGAACTGCCTTTGGTTGAGTTTTCTGATTTTACTTGGGATCTGCTTAAAGGCTTCATCCTTTCTGATGAGTGCTCACTTGTTTTACTAAATCTCTGGTTTTGAATGGGATTCAATTTTCTAAATTCTTTTGGGAAGGTCCTTCTGGGACTCCTGCTGGTTTCATGTTTAAAAACTACAGTCCCTAACAAACTGGACAACCTAGAAGAAATGGACAGCTTTCTAGAAAAATACAACCTTCCAAGGCTGACCCAGGAAGAAACAGAAAATCCGAATAGACCAATTACCAGCAAGGAAATTGAATTGGTAATCAAAAAACTACCTAAGAACAAAACACCTGAACCAGATGGTTTCACTGCTGAACTTTATTAAAGATTTAGTGAAGACCAAATACCCATCCTCCTTAAAGTCTGCCAAAAAGTAGAAGAGGATGGAATACTCCCAAACCCATTCTATGAGACCAACATCACTCTAATACCACAACCGGGTAAAGAACCCACAAAAAATAAAATTACAGACAAATATCCCTGATGAGCATAGATGTAAAAATGCTCAACAAATTATTAGCAAACCGAGTTAAAAAATACATCAAAAAGATCATCCATCATGATCAAGTGGGATTCATCCCAGGGATGCAAGGATGGTAGAACATTTGAAAATCCATTAACATCATCCCCCACTTCAACAATAAGAAGGTCAAAAACCACATGATCATCTCCATAGATGCTGAAAAAGCAGACAAAATTCAACATCCATTCATGATAAAAACTCTCAACAAAATGGGTATAGAGGACAAGTACCTCAACATAATAAAGGCCATATATGACAAACCCACAGCCAATATCATACTTAACAGCAAGAAGCGGAAAGCTTTTCCTATAAGATTGGGAACAAGACAAGGATGCCCACTCTCACCACTTTTATTCAACATAGTTCTGGAGATCCTAGCCATGGCAATCAGACAACACAAAGATAGAAAAGGCATCCAGATTGGCAAGGAAGAAGTGAAATTGTCCCTGTTTATGGATGACATGATATTGTACATAAAAAACCCTAAAGAATCCATTCCAAAACTACTAGATCTAATATCTGAATTCAGCAAAGTTGAAAGATACAAAATTAATACACAGAAATCTGTTGCATTCCTATACATAAACAGTGATCTAGCAGAAAGAGAAATCAGGAAAACAATTCCATTCACAATTGCATCAAAAAGAATAAAATACCTAGGAATAAATCAAACCAAGTAAGTGAATTCCTATGCTCTGAAAACTACAAGACACCCTTGAGAGAAATTGAAGAAAATACCAATACATGGAAACACATCCTGTGCTCAAGGACAGGACAAGTTAATATTGTCAAAATGGCCATCCTGCCTAAAGCAATCTACAGATTCAATGCTATCCCTATCAAAATACCAACAGCATTCTTCAACAAACTGGAACAAATAGTTCTAAAATTCGTATGGAACCACTAAAGACTCCGAATAGCCAAGGCAATCCTGAGAAGGAAAAATAAAGCAGGGAGAATCATGGTTCCCAACTTCAAGCTCTACTGCAAAGCCACAGTAATCAAGACAATTTGGTNTGTGGTTTACAGGTTTCTCTGTAACCAGAATCTTCACCTGAGGTTTGAGTCTAACATGTGGAACCAAGTCCCCACTCAGGCCACATGACTAACACAAGGCACATATCTGGATCAAACAGGTAACTTTTAAAAATGCACTAATTTAATATTTATAGAACACCTACTTATGCCAGGTGCGATCTAGGCACTGGAGCTAATGAATAAGACAGTAGTGAGTAAGACAAATCCCCTGCTCTCATGGAAGTTTATGTTCTAGCAGAAGAAAGTCTAAAAAATAAACAGCAAGAAAACACCAGGCCATTAAGTGCTTCCACAAAACACGCAATTAATTGGAACTCAAAAAGGAAAACTGTAGCTCCTTCTTGGAGAAGAGCCATCTCCCATGGGCCTCTCCTCCACTGCTCACCTTCTAGAATCCATAAGTATAGAGAAGCTGCTGACTACTTAGCCTCACTCATTGCAGAAACCTCTCCAATTTTGCTGGAGAAGGGGAAAAGGGCACGAAAAATTTGTCTTGGACTCATCATCTTATTTATATTCCTTTATAGTTTTTCTGTTGTTTCCAGAGAGAAATCCAGATTACCCCCATAATTTTTCTCCTAGGGTCACTCTTCCTCATTAATTCTCTAATTTCCCACCCTCAGTCCCTCTGCTTTCTGTTCTTTGTGCACTCCTGCATTATAGTCTTATTACACATTTAAACATACATAGACATCATGCTTTAATGTACACTTTTTTGGTCTTTGTCATTAACGTTCTATAAGTGTTAGAAAGCTAGATGATATTTCTTACTATGGAAAGCTAGCAGGCTTTCATACACACAAGTTTGGTCTCTGTAACACCACATTCTAATGAATTAAGACTTTATATAAAGCATTTAGCACAGGGCTTGGTGCATTCTTTTAGGTTGGTCAGACTGTAACATGATGTGAAACCATCGCTTGTATCATGGATTGTAATCCCTGAGGTACAGGCAAGTTCCTCAAGGGGCTGGTCAACTCCTGAAAATTACATGTAAACTTATGTGTATATCTGCATCATTCAGGGGAGAGGCTTTCAGATTCTCAAAATGATTTATGAATTCAAGTTTAAGACCCACTGAGAAATCAATGAATTTTACCATTTACTACCAACTTATAAATTAACTTAAAAATTTTTATTCAATGAATATTAAGCACCAGGCACTGTTTAGGTGCTACAGACACATTAGTAACAAGCACAACATTGTCCCTGCCCTCTTACAACCTACAATTTACTCAATGACCATTTTCCCATTTTTATTTTTTTAATTATAACCAGTGAAACCATCTTTAGGTATCTAAAAAAAGGATATGCCCCCAGTATCATCATCTACTCCATCCCCACCAATGTGAACCTAGTATATGTTTTTCCACACTTTTCTCGGTGCTCACATATATATATCTACATACACATCTTTTATTTCTTTTCATAAAAACAGAATCATACTGGACATGTTACTCTACATTCTGCTCTTGTTAAATCATGGATATCCTTCCTACCAGATAAAGATTATATAAATAATTCATTTATTTTAACTATTTATTACTTTAATAGGAATGTATCAAAATGTATTCAACTATTCCCCTGTTAACGGGCATTTACTCAGACCATTTTAAACTTTTTTTTCAGTATAAATAATGCTGCAATTAACATTCTTATACATTTACCTTTAGTACTTTATTTCTTGGGATAGATTCCCAAAAGTAGGGGTGTTGGATCAAAAACTATATATTATGTTAAAACTTGGTGGACTATTGCTAGATTACTTCCACAAAATGATTATAGCAGTTCATCCTTCTACCAACAATATATAAATAAGCCTGTTTCCTCAAATGCCTACCACCCTGTAATATTACTACTCCATTAATTTTTGCCAATGCAATGAGTAAAAACAATACTTTTAAATTCTTTTAATATGCACTTGATTGCCTGAGGACTATTTTTTTTTCGTTGGATTGTTTCATATTTTTCTTGTCAATTTGGGAACGCTCTTTGTGTATTTCTTACATCTTTTCTTTCACAAACACTATTGCCGTTATTTTTTTTATCATGTTTAGGCAGGGCTCTCCTAGACTTAGAAGGTTTTCTAATTTTTTTATGAATTATGTTTAAGTTTCTAACTTCTTGTATGAAATAGGAGTTATGGCTTTGTTTTCTTAGAGATGAATTACCAATTATGTGAGCATTATTCATTAAATAAATCTCCCTTTTTTCTCACCTATCTCATATATTTTCTCAATATACTTATCTATCTGTGTACTCTATACTTTTCCAATGACCATTTAGAGCTTTATAATAATTTTCAGTATCTATTAAAACAAAGTACCCTCACTTCTCTTCTCTTCCACAGCTTTTCTTGGCTCTTTGCTGACTTTATTTATTCTTCCTTATGAGCTTTACAATCATTTTATCCAGTGCTGGAAGTGTGAGTTAAACTGGAATGCTAAAAATTTCAAAGGACTATCATGTTATCCAATCCAGACATAACAAGGTTTTCCATTTGTTTAGATCTAATTTTACATCCTCTATGAGATGTTTTAGTTTCCTCAAGACTGGTTCTGAATATCTCTTTTTAAACTTATTCCAAAATAGCTTATAATGTCTGTTATGAATGACATTTTTTCCATTCCTAATTTATTGTTACTTACCTACATTGATGTCTTATTCATATTTGATATTTATTTGAAAAAACTATTTCAGTACATGTGGCATTTTTTAATTCATTCCAGTTATGCTCGAAACTTTCCCCTCCTTCTTCCTCCAGCTTTCAACTAACACACACTCTAACAAATAAACACCCAACCACAGCAATAAAAATTTATATCCAACATACCTTTTCCTTTTGAAAGGTGACTTTGGCATATCAGCCACAGGGATCATTTGTTCTCCTGGGCGTACCCACATGATGGGACCATCATCACTATCTTTTCGACTTTCCAATTTTAGACTAGATAGTGTCCCCCATGGCAGTGTACACTAGAGGGAAATAATCACACAGAAATGAATTATTTTCAAAACGTATCTTCAAATATAAACTCACAAATATTGCCCTCTTGACAAACTTTCATATGTACCTTTATACTTACACATCTAAAATATATACCTACATTCTCCTTCAAAAAATTATATTTCAAACACATCAAGAGAATAATTTTTCTCAGATGGTTCCCTCCTCCAACCCTGTTAAAGATACTGTATAAATCATTTGTTATTTTTCCATATACCAAATACATGGGTCATTTTATGTTAAGAGTTGGCAAAATAAAGAAGTGTTCCCCATGAGGACCTATAAAAATAAACAACTGAGTTTAAAAAAATACATCAAAAAAAAAAGGATACCCCTTTTGATTAGTTATAATCAAAAGCTCAGAATAACAAAAAGAAAAACTACACCAAATCAAAACTTATTTCTGTTTAGTAGTTTCTTAAAGAGATTGCTGGTCTGAAAGCAGAGATTAAAATCTTTGAATAGAAAAGAGAGAAGAAGAGAAATGACTAAGGGCCATTGTCAACGGAATGGTGAGAATAATATTAAAAAACAATCATTTCATACCCCCTTCTCAAAAAGGAATTGTCAAATTTCTTCAGAAAGAATGCATTTAGCTCATTTGCTTTTAAAATGAAAATCTAAAACATAAATATTTAAATATTGGTCTTTAAAAATACTACCCAAAATAAATGCAACTAAATTATTCCATGACATCACTAGTTGGAAGAAATAGAAAGGAACAAAATGTTTAAAAGGAAATGAAAGGGGAATGGAATGGGGTGCAAAAGAAAAAGATATAGATCAGAAAACCAAGCAAGTGAAAAAAGGAGAGATGTTCAACAGATCATGTGGTGCATATTAGAAATAAACTGATCTTGTCATATTCTGACCTTTGAATTACTGATTATAATTAACCTAACTACATTTCGCTCTCAATGAGATAAGCTCAGGAGCCCACAAGAAGAAATAACTTTCTAGAATGCAGAGACTGTTTAAAAGAAACAGGAACCCAGCTAGAAATCATCTAAAGAAATTTAAAGGGACCTTAAAGCTACATAGTCTAAATGCCTTATATTATGGATGAGGAAACTGAAGCTCAGGAAGTTCAAAGGGCTTGCCCCACACAGTGAAGTACATTCAGGTTGAAATAGATATGTATAATTTCCCAGGCCTGTTTTCCACAAGGCCCAACTGCTATTCCCTTGTCCTAAACACTTCAATTTAGTGGGCACCCTTCCTCTACTTCTTAAATCCACTGGTACTCAGTTTATAAAAAGCTAACAAACACATGGAACCTAATTTCCTAAAGTGGCAGCAACAGGCAAATGTTATTTTCTGGTCCACCACTTAGCTTTGCCTTTATAATTAGTACACGAGAAGTCATGCACACACGCTACACAAGAATTACTGTTAGTTTCCCAGCTCTTCCTTTTCTTCCAATTCAAATGAAATCAAAATTTTTATAATTCTGAAACAGCCATGATTTCTACCACCTGTAGCATGAAAGTAACACCAACAATTTAGCTTATTTGATAATTGTTTTCTCTTACTTTTAAAAATGGTGACTCTTCCAGCATATCAAGGAACTCAGGGAAGTAATCTCCCACTTCTTCATCAACTGCTCCCACCAAGCTGATTTGTCGCATTGGGCCAGCTCTGTAAGTACCGTGAGAATACGTTCTTTTTACCTGAAGGATAAGATATGGTTTAATTAAAAAGTTATGCATAAGATAATGCTTGCTTTGGTGCATAACACTAAAGTGTACTGTCTGAGACTATCAGAACATAATGTGAAGCAGCAAGCTTAACAAAACAAAAAAGGCTTTACAAATACAGTTCAAGAATAAGGCATTAAAAAAAACCCTGTATTAAATCCAGCTATTTTACCTTCTCTATCTACTATTCTAATATACCTGCTTATGAAAACACAGTTTAGATAAACAGCATAATTCTAGACAATTAAATATACCTTCTTTACATAAGAGTTCATCACTTGATCTATAATGCCACAGAAATTATTTTCAAAAGTTAGTATGCTCACATTTTCCTAAATGGTTTTCATATATTTTATCAGAATTTTCAAAGTAGACCCTCTAAAGCATAACATTTAACCATAGTTCATATGTCTAAAAGGCCATCAGGAATGACCTTCCCTTAGGGATCTTACAAAATTAATTAAGAACCAGTTTTACATTTCTATGATGAAAAACTAAGATTGAGAACCAGGAGTCCTAGGTCCTAAATCTACCCTTGTTATCTATCAGTTCTGTGACCTTCAGATGTCACTTAAATTCCTTGGTTTTAGTTTCTTTAACTGGAATGATTAATCTCAGATTGCCAAAGAAGATTTAATAATTACATAAAGCCACCTGAGAATCCTAGCAAATGGGTATCATTCAAACATCAATCAAAATAAAACAGCTTATAGCTCACGTATCATTTGTATGTGAATTTTTACAAGTATTTTAAATCCTGAATTTTTACCAGTACATTTAAATCCTGCAAAGAAACCTATGTCTTTTCATATACTAACACTAGTAAACAAGAGTCCTTTTTAAATAAAACAACTTCTTTCAATAAACAAACTAAGCAAAATCCCAATTATCTTTTTCTCTGGATTAGCCTTTGTGGACACTAAATTTAGAGAGATCAAATTATCCCAGCTTGCCTGGGTCTATCCCAGTTTTAAAACTGAGAAGTCCCATATTCCTGGCAAACCCAGAGGGTTAACGCCTTTATCACGTCATCAACACAGACTCTTAAAGATATTCCACATCACTAGCTGAATCCCCACAATTGAAGCTGGTACAGATAGTATCATGTATCAAAGTATTTAAGCCTGACCCACATCAGGGGATTCAGCTAGTGATGTGGAATATCCTTTAGAGCCTGTGTTGACAATGTGATAAAGGCGTTAACCCTCTGGGTTTGCCAGGAATATGGGACTTTTCAGTCTTAAAACTGGGATATTTGCAAAGAACTGACAGTAAAAATTCTGTCATTATAAAATAATTTGACTAAGACATTCAGAGAATTTTATTTCCTTTTTTATCATAGTCAGCAAAGCAGCATAACAATGATACATTAATTCTTTGATAAGCTTATTTACAAGTTTTCATCAGCTATCACAAGTGCACTTCTTAGAATCACAGAATATTCTTACAGTTCCCAAGCTACAAAAATATCTGGAGTTCTGCATCCACATTTTGTATTCAGGTCTCATCTTTTTCCTGTCTCCCCAAAATTCTTACCATCTCCTACACTGCGAGAGCTAAAAGTTAAAATATGACTCTACAACAGTCTCTATGTTCTAGATGCTTAGATGTACTAACAGCACCACAATAGGAAAATCTGTCATTAGTATGCATTTCTGCAATGCAGTCTTGAAGGGTCCCCACCAGTAACATGGCAAACTTTCAGCTTCTCTTCGGGGTCCTCAGTTCCCGCCGGCGCCACCTGAAGCCCAATCACCTCTCGCCCCCCTCCCAATCCCAGCACCTAGCCAACAGCCACCAGCCCCGTAGAAGTGACACCTCAATCAATTCATGCCCCCTCCTATATAACCCAGCACCTTTCCCTAATAAAGCGGAACTCTCCGGTGAATTGCTGCTATGTGTCGCTCCTTTCCTTTCATTGGTGCCGAAACCCGGGAGACGGGACACCCCAACTGGGCCCCGTCTTCCCCCCAACACCAGCAGCAGCTTGCCCTCGTCCTCTTTTTCCGGCGCTGGCTCATCACACTCACCACTCCTCTCTGGCCTTTAGGTAAGTTTTCCCCCCGGAGTGGGCCACTCTTCCCCGAGCTATCGCAGTGCCATTGACCGTGATCGTCCGGCAAGGCCCTGACGCTCGGGGATGAGGAGGGAACTCTCCCCGCCTCAGGCCTTCACGGCTGCGGCGGACCCTCAGGCCCCTCCCCAAACAGCCATAAATCCCCGCCTCAAGCCTTTACGGCTGCGGCGGACGCTCAGGCCCCTCCTCCGACAGTCATAAATCCCCGCCTCAGGCCTTCACGGCTGCGGCTGACTCTCAGGCACCCCCCTCCAACAGCCATAAACGAGGTGACTCCTTTGCGGATGAGAACGCTCCCTTTTCCCCCCCTCCTCCTTCTGCTCCGTCCGCCGAAAACGCCTAGCGCTAGGTACCTCGTGACTCCGGCACTCTGCCTTCTTAGGGAAGTCTGGGTGACGACCCACACTTCCCAAGAAATTCCGACTCGTATACGAGTTTCCGCAGACCACCAAGGATCATCGGGGACGCCCTTTGTCTCCTTGTGGTCTGCTTCCAGTCCGAGGATCTCCGTTCGTCTTCCCCTGTTTGTCTCCTTCTCTGTCCTTTAGCCATGGGAGCCTCCTCATCCCTCCCTGAAAGTTCACCTCTTGAATGCCTGCTTAAGCATCTGGCTACCCTCTCCCTGACGCCTGATATAAAACCAAAACTTCTCCGTAAATATTGCTCCCAAGATTGGCCGACATACCCCCTAGACAATAACAACCAATGGCCCGCAGGGGGAACTCTTGATCCTAACATCACTCGCAATCTCTTTAACTACTGCCAGCGCCTGAAAAAATGGAAGGAGATTCCCTATATCGAAGCTTTTCGCCTCCTAGCTCAAAATCCCAGCCTCTGCACCACCTGCTCCCCGCCCCAAGTTCTCCTAGCCTGCAAGCCGTCTCCCTCCCCTCCACACACTCCCAGTCCCTCTTCAATTACCTTTGACCCGGCCGACGAGCCTCCGCCATACAGACTTCCCCCTTCAGCCCCTCCCCCTCCTACAACCCCTCCACCCTCCGCCGCCACTGCCGCCTCTTTCCCCATGGCAGAAGCCTCCCGTCCTCTCCCTTCCCCTTCTTCTCCTACAACAGCCCCCCCCCCTTCCTCTACCGCCGCCACCGCTGCCGCTTTCCCCGCGGCAGAAGCTTCCCATCCTCTCCCTTCCCCTTCTCCTTCTACAACAGCCCCTCCCCCTTCCTCTACCGCCACCACCGCTGCCGCTTTCCCCGCGGCAGAAGCTTCCCATCCTCTCCCTTCCCCTTCTTCTCCTACAACAGCCCCTCCCCCTTCCTCTATCGCCGCCGCCGCCTCCACCCCCGCAGAAGCCTCCCATCCTCTCCCTTCCCCCTCCTCCACCATCTCCTCCTGCACCTCACCACCTCCTCCTCTGTCCCCCTCACCTTCCCCCCTCCCGCAAATCAAGCCTGAGCCTTTCAGCCCCCCTCTAACTAAGTTCCAAGAGCCTCGTCCATCTTTGCCCCCTCAGATTCGGTCCCGAGAGCCTCCCAAAATTATCGCGGCTTTGCCCCCATTACCTGTTTCCCCTGCACAGACTGAGCCAGAACCCTTCAGTCCCCCTCAGACTCGGTCCCGAGGGCCTCCCAAAATTATCGCCCCGCTCCGGGAAGTAGCAGGATCCGAAGGCATCTTGCGTGTTCACGTCCCCTTCTCCTTAGGAGATTTAGCCCAACTAGAGAAACGCCTAGGTTCCTTTTCCACTGATCCCACGACCTACATCAGGGAGTTTCAATGGACCCTCCAGTCTTACAGCCTCACGCATCATGACATTTTCATGCTCCTGGCCAATACTCTCCTCCCTGAAGAGCGTAGACGAGCTTGGGACTTCGCCCAAATGCATGCTACCGAAACCCACAGGACTGACCCCACCTGTCCCCCTGGTCCCACTGCTGTCCCCGAACAAGACCCACACTGGGATTATAACACCGCTGTGGGTCTCCACTCTCGAGATATTTTTGCCTCCTGCTTAATAGCAGGTCTAAAAAAGGCAGCTCGTAAAGTAGTCAATTTTCAAAAGCTCCAAGACATAATTCAAAAGAGAGATGAAACCCCCTCCGAGTTCTTAGACAGACTCACTCAAGCCCTATTACAGTATACCAGCCTGGACCCAGAAACACCTGAAGGAAGACATGTCCTTATGACATACTTCCTAGCTCAAAGCTACCCCGACATTAAAGCTAAACTCAAAAAGTTAGAACAGGGCCCCGCTACCCCACAGACTGAGATCCTAACAGTGGCCTTTAAAGTCTTCCATAACCGGGAGGAGGAGAAAGAACGCCGTAAACAAAAAGCTGATCAGGCCAATTTCCAGATGTTGGCCCAGCTGATAAAACCACAACCTGGGCGCCCCTCTACAGACAAGCCCCCCCCAGGAGCTTGTTTCAAGTGCGGAAAAGAGGGACATTGGTCAAGGGCGTGCCCCTCCCCCAGATCTCCTACCACCCCATGCCCCAGATGCCACAAAAAGGGCCACTGGGGGTCTGATTGCCCAACCACCCGAAGGGGAGGCTGGACGAACAACCCCCATCCTAAGCCCACCGTAGTGGGGCTGGCAGAAGAAGATTGACGGGGCCCGGGGGCTTCTCGCCCGACCATTTCCATCACCAAACAGGAGCCCAGGGTTACTTTAACAGTAGACGGTCGCCCCATCTCCTTCCTCCTAGATACAGGAGCCACCTTCTCAGTCTTGCGAGAATACCGGGGCCCTACCACGCCAGCCATTACTCCTATAGTCGGGGTAGGAGGTAAACAGATTTTCCCATTAAAACCCCCCCCCTTTTTATGCACAATCCTAGACAGTCCCATACCTTTCTCCCACTCCTTCCTAGTTATGCCCCAGTGTCCCATCCCTTTACTAGGACGGGACATCCTTTCCCTCCTCCACGTTTCCATAACT